TTCCCTCTGAGCGTTCCCGAGGCCAGACACAGCTCGTGGCGTGTCATGGTTCCCTCTGAGCGTTCCCGAGGCCAGACACAGCTCGTGGCGTGTCATGGTTCCCTCTGAGCGTTCCCGAGGCCAGACACAGCTCGTGGCGTGTCATGGTTCCCTCTGAGCGTTCCCGAGGCCAGACACAGCTCGTGGCGTGTCATGGTTCCCTCTGAGCGTTCCCGAGGCCAGACACAGCTCGTGGCGTGTCATGGTTCCCTCTGAGCGTTCCCGAGGCCAGACACAGCTCGTGGCGTGTCATGGTTCCCTCTGAGCGTTCCCGAGGCCAGACACAGCTCGTGGCGTGTCATGGTTCCCTCTGAGCGTTCCCGAGGCCAGACACAGCTCGTGGCGTGTCATGGTTCCCTCTGAGCGTTCCCGAGGCCAGACACAGCTCGTGGCGTGTCATGGTTCCCTCTGAGCGTTCCCGAGGCCAGACACAGCTCGTGGCGTGTCATGGTTCCCTCTGAGCGTTCCCGAGGCCAGACACAGCTCGTGGCGTGTCATGGTTCCCTCTGAGCGTTCCCGAGGCCAGACACAGCTCGTGGCGTGTCATGGTTCCCTCTGAGCGTTCCCGAGGCCAGACACAGCTCGTGGCGTGTCATGGTTCCCTCTGAGCGTTCCCGAGGCCAGACACAGCTCGTGGCGTGTCATGGTTCCCTCTGAGCGTTCCCGAGGCCAGACACAGCTCGTGGCGTGTCATGGTTCCCTCTGAGCGTTCCCGAGGCCAGACACAGCTCGTGGCGTGTCATGGTTCCCTCTGAGCGTTCCCGAGGCCAGACACAGCTCGTGGCGTGTCATGGTTCCCTCTGAGCGTTCCCGAGGCCAGACACAGCTCGTGGCGTGTCATGGTTCCCTCTGAGCGTTCCCGAGGCCAGACACAGCTCGTGGCGTGTCATGGTTCCCTCTGAGCGTTCCCGAGGCCAGACACAGCTCGTGGCGTGTCATGGTTCCCTCTGAGCGTTCCCGAGGCCAGACACAGCTCGTGGCGTGTCATGGTTCCCTCTGAGCGTTCCTGAGGCCAGACACAGCTCGTGGCGTGTCATGGTTCCCTCTGAGCGTTCCTGAGGCCAGACACAGCTCATGGCGTGTCACGGTTCCTTCAGAAGGCTGCTGAGGCTGGACGCAGCTCATGGCATGTCACAGTTCCCTCAGAGCCCTGCTGCTGAAGCCAGACAGCTCATGGCACACACCGTCTGTTGCCAGTGCATCCAACCTTACCTTAAACACCATCTGCAGCCTGACACGTCTCGCACCCTCCCCGCTCCAGAGGGAGCTCCCCTCCTGCAGCCCGGGTCAGCGCAACTTGGTTCCAGAAGTATCAGGGCATGTGCCCGGGCCGGCAGCTGTCTGCAATCTTTGCTGAGCACTGACACACTTAAGTGCAGGTGTCACCACGGGCATGAGGAGCATTAAACCTTCAGCAGACACGTGGGGTGAATACGGGCCGGTGGAAAGCACGGATGGGCTGGGAACATGGAGGGACATCGGCGAGGGTAGTAGGAGCTTTTCCCGGCTCTTTTTGTTGACAAAAGAAAGTGGTGGGGGTGGGCTGTGATTGTCCCAGGCTGTTCTTTTCCTCTGGCATCCTTTGCATTTATTTTACGGACGTGTTTCTTAAATAGCTCAGTAGGTGTCTATTCCCCGCTGCCCAGGAAGGGGTTTTAAATCCCAGAAAAAAGCAACAGGTGCCTGCCTGGAGCTGCACGGCTGCCAGTGCGGGATGGCAACGAGGGGGAGTGTCTCCAGATCTCGTGTTTGACTTGGTGCCCTGGGGAGAGGTCATCTCTGGTAACACCAGAACCCAAACTTTTTTTGGGCCGTATGAGCTGTAGCTGCTGCCAGTAATCACAGTGCACCAGAGTGGAACGAGAGCCACATTGTTCCCATCTGCTGCTGCCTGCTGAGGTCCAAGTGGCCTTCTCACTCCAAATCACCTAAGATCTTGATCATTAAGGGACTTAGCTCTTCACTGGGATCCCCAAGCCATGCTGGAAAGGGCCAGGAAACCCCCAGCAGCACTGCCTTGAGCTCCAGCCTTGTGTTCTCTGCAGGCTAGCAAAGAAACCTGGTGCTGGAAAGAAAATCCTTGTTTTTTCAGCGTGGGAAGGCTGGAAGGAAGGATGGCAGTGGGAAGAAGAGGTGGGAAAGAGACTGAAGTCTTGTGTGGTGCAAGAGGATTCCTCTGACCCTTGGAAATGGGCAGCGCAGCGTTGCATGGGTGTAAATCACGGCAGCATTTAGCCCTTCCTTTAGAGAACCCCTTGGGCTGGATTTTCCAGGCTGCATTTATAATAGGGGCCTGTATTGTGATGTTGTTTGATACATGGATCTCTCCAGGTTTTTTCAGTGGAACTTTTGACCCCTTTGTAGTAAATGTAAGTCTCCTGACGACAGGATTGTGTTTTTAGTCTCCTTTTGCGGCCCCCCATGCATCTCTGGCCCACAGGTGTGAAAGCCACTGCTCAGGAGATTTGAGCTGCTCCCGAGTGAACTTGGAGTAGAAAGAAGTTCATCTCCACTGGTTTTGTGTGTTGTAGCCACAGTTTGCTCACTTGTGCTCTCTAGGAATCTCACCCTCTGTTCCTAGTGCAATACCCAGCGGGAATGGATGATGGGAGGTTTGTGGAAAGCCTTGAGCACACTGTGGTGACAGCGAGAGGACGACTGTTTGAACTTTCTGTTTTCACATCAGCAACCTTTGTCCATGGTGGGACAGACACAGCATGGGCTGAAATAGCATTTAACCCTGCTGAAGTCACGTCTGTTTAGCATTTCACTGTGCACAGGTGCTGTTTGCAGAGGGATTTTTTTTTTTATCCGTGGCTGAGGGGTGTTTTCCAGTGTGCTAAGAAGATCGAAGTGTTCCTAGATTGCTGCTTGGAAGTTTCTGTTGTTGCAGGCAAGGTGTCACAGTGCTCAGCTCAGCGGGTCTGAGTTCATTTCTTTGCTGCTTTCTAAGTATTTTGGAGGTGGGTAGCTGTGTCTTTCCTAAGATCCAGGTGCTTGTCTTATCCCAGGCACTCAGCTCTCGCTGGCAGCAATTTCCATGCTGTTTTAGATGCTTCTGCATAGTGCCAGGTAATTGTGTTTTACAAACGGATTGTTTTGTGACAGTTGGTTGCTGTGGTAGAAAGCCCACTTTGGGTAATTTCTCTAGACAATATATTGATTGAGTCACTAAAGCTATGGGAATGCCATACCCTTGTTTTTTTTGCCATCAGCAGGTAAAATAACCCTTCCTTGAGGTGCTTGTTTTGCTGAAATTTGCTTGTCCCTCAGCATTCCCAGCAATCAGCTAGCACCTCGTTTTTCCTGAACACAATATTTATTATGTGTGGTCAGTTCATGCTAATTACTTTATCCTCCATATCTTTTTGTTCATATATCTTTTTCCCTCCGGTATCTTCTTGGCTCATATCCACCTGAATTGCAAGAGAGCTGTTTGTCAGCAGGATTTTCTATGTTTTTTTATTTGATGATCAAGTTGCCTTTATACCTCTATTTTAAAGTTCTTTTTTCCTGCTGATTGAAAATGTTGAAGCTTGGCTGAGACAGGTGCAGTTGGATCTCTGCAGTCTGCTAATCAAGTGGCTGATCAGAGTTTTGAGGCAAAGGTCCTGAAATTCGTGGTGGTAGAACTTGTTGTCATCTGGAATTAAATTGTGCCTACAGGCTCTGTCATCATGGGTGTGTGTACTGAAGCTGGCACCTGCAGTTTATTTCTGTGGATGCAAGGGACAGTTTGAAAACTTCCCAAAGCCTGTTTGTTTCTTAGGACACATGTTGTATCGTGGCTTAGTCTCATGGTTCACAGAGCCAGTACTTTCAAGAGAAATGTGTCGTTCCTGGAATTAGTTACATCTTTCTGGAATAAGCTCTGGGCTTCTTGTAGGTCCTGGTCCTGCCAGGTGCTGCTTGCTCTGAGATGAAATTGTGGGTTTGTGGAGCTATGTCTTTCTCAGAGCAGGAATAATGTAACTGCTAAGTACAAATTATGGGTTTGTAGTATGTTTTCTTGTCTGTGGGTCGCACAGAATGGGTCTGAAAGTGTGGGTTGCTCTAAATAAGGGTGAGGTGCTGGTTCAGGCCTCTGTGTAGCAACAGATAAGCTCTGGGCAGGCTTATCTTCTCAGGGAGATTTTACATTTGCTTTTCTTTGTTTCCTTGCTGTTTTGTTTCAGCCTCAGTCAATTTCTTCCCATAACTCATGTTCCCATCCTGGACACTGCCCTTCTTGCTTGCATTACTCACTTGCTGCCTTCCTCCTTTGCCCTCAGATTGCCGGGCTCCTGCTGCTGCGTCTCCATCCTCCCCCAGATCATCTTGCTGGCTCCAGGCTTCTGCTCCTGCTCTCCTTTGATGGGCACCTCCTTAATGTCAAGAGCCAGCTCAAATGATTAGCTGGGTTACTGATTAGCAGTTTGTGGGGGCAGAGCTGGCGTGAGCTTTTCGTTAAGGCTCTCCACAAATACCGTTGCACAGTTCCTGGTGAGGTCTAGAAGCTGTCTTGCTGCTTCCCTGCTCGTACCACCATGGACCTGCCATGAGCATAACTGGCTCAGGTGCCTGGCCATGGATAGTGGCTCCAGAGGGGTTAACGCTGAGCCAGAACTAGTAAGTCCATCTGGATCCCTGCTGCTTGTTCCCATGCTCATTCGCCTTCTCTTCCTCATGGATCCCACCGAAGAGCAGAAGGGATGCACTTCTAGCACGTTGCTCAGTTCATCCTCTGGTTCTGTTTGGGCTTTTGTGACCCATTTTGCATATTGGGAAGGACACAGTCCATTCAGTGCACCCTGTCTGTAGACGGGTGTAAGGAACAGCTACATCTGGGAGAGAAGGGAAAGCAAAGCTGA